CTGATGGTGATGTTATGGCTGTCGAGGTTCTGGTCGTTCATGCCTTCGATCGCATCCCTAATGGCCTTCTCGTTGTTGAAGGTGACGAAGTCGAAGCCCCTGGACCTCCAGGTCGTTGATGATCTGGAAACACAAAAAGAAACCAAATCAAATCAGATTCGTCCATCAAAACAAAAATTCTCAATAACAACCAAATAAATAAATATACAGAAGAAGAAGAAGTTTGGTTTGGTGCAAGTCCCTGTGTGCTGTATAGGAATATTTAAAAGAAGTTGTTGCAGGCAGAATCTATTCAATATAAAGTTTTCTACCAATACATATTCTTAGTCTGAATTCCCTAGGAGAGCAATCTCTTCTTTCTCTCATGAAAAAGGCAAGGCAAAAGAGAAACAAAAAGCATAACCAAAATGGGGGAAATGACAGTATTTTTTTAAATAAATATTGAGCAGTCTAAGATAATCATCAACCAGGATGCATATTCGTTAGAAATTAGGAATGCAAAGAGCATGAAATTCAATAGTTAATACTAGCACCATATACGACTTCAGCTTCAGCTAATGTGACAAAATCAATCATCATCAATAAAGTAAGGAGCAAGGGCAAAACAAGGTAAAGCAATAGCATCTCAATTATAGCTAGGAACTAGAAAGGAAGGAGGACTACTGACTGACGGTTGAGACAGAAGAGCTGCTGAGCTGAGCAATGATACGGATTCATGGCGAACTGGACTTTGGAGCAGTTAGTGAAGTGAATGCCCGCAACCATATCCTCCGCTGCCCCCTTCGGAGCTGTAACCTCTGTTACCACCACTGCCGCTTCCACAAGACTGGGCCTCGCTGACGGTGATGTTATGGCTGTCGAGGTTCTGGTCGTTCATGCCTTCGATCGCATCCCTAATGGCCTTCTCGTTGTTGAAGGTGACGAAGTCGAAGCCCCTGGACCTCCAGGTCGTTGATGATCTGGAAACACAAAAAGAAACCAAATCAAATCAGATTCGTCCATCAAAACAAAAATGCTGGAGTATAATCAAACAAATACACAATAATAAACAAAAATGGAAAGGAATCGATCGATCTTCAATCTTTGGGAGAGAAAGATCAAGTAACATAGAGAAACAGAAGATCAAGAAGCAGAGAGAGAACATGCATCAAACGGCTCTTTGATTTGATGATCTCACCGAATGGAGAAAAGGCCCTCTCCAGCGCATCATTGTCGATAGCCCAGGTGAGTCCTCCGACGAAGCTTAGAATGATGAGGTTAAACAGAAACTAAAAATTGGGGTTGAAGATGAAGATGAGAGACTGGAGGTCGTGAAATGGGTTCTGATCTGTTGATTAGAATTCCAATTTTATGTTAAAAGGGTAATAAAGGTATTTCATTTTAATAATTAAATTAAAAAATATACAGCTGTTGATTTTTGGGTTTATTTTGGGTGTGTTTATATACATTAAATAGTATAGGGTATTTTTATAGTTTTATGTCTAGGAATGGGTATTTAACTAATTTTCTAAAAAAAAATTAGAATTTTTTATTTGTTAAATTATACATTTTTTTTATTGTTTATAAATTTTTGTCTTCGAAAAATAGCAGATTTTTTTTATTAAAAAAAAACTGAAATTAGCAAAAATACAATTGAAAATAAGTCACATATTTTTATTTTCAAATTATACTACCAGACACATTTTCATTGTTTTTGTTTTCTGAAGATGTTTTCTAATTAATCTACCAGACGCATTTTCATTTCCTGAAAATGCAAATTTGTTTTCTTGTTTTCATTCTCTGAAAATATTCTCATAAAACACTCTCCGAAAAAGTTACCAGACGGGCCCTAAATGTCTAGTGAAAAACAGGAGGAGAAATCATTCAATCAGCATATTGTAGCTAATCCTGCAATAAATGACGGTTTTGAGTTTTAGCCGTGATTAGTGACGGTTTAAGGACCTATAGTGACGAAATTTATGCCCCATCTGATCAAATTGTGTTTAGCAGCGGTTTTTTTCGTCGCTAACCGTAGGTAAAATTTCTTTCAGCGACGATACATGTAACCGCCGCTAAAAGTGGTAACTACTTTAAATTCGCCTCTCCACTCTGTCTCAATTGAATTACAAAACATAAACAGAAACTAAAAACGATGAAAATCTATCGCTTATCAGACCAAATAAACAAAAAGTGGTTTATGTGAAACCTTGAGATGGAGCTACTTTAGTTTACATCAACGAATACACAGTAGATATACAGAGGTGTACACTTTATATCAACCAGTATACAATCAAACAATTAGAAGCCCGCATTGGCAACCCCTGCACTTGAAGAGTGATTTCTACTTTTATCTCATCCTTTGAATTGCCACTCCCTGCGACACATGGGGCAATGCGCCTGAGAAGTCTGTGAATTTACCCATTTTAAGATGCAATGAAGATGGAAAGCATGGTTGCATGCACCCCAAACTGCAAGATAAAAGAATAATTTAGTGAATTATCATCAAGCTGTGCAAAAATAAACCCAATAATTAATATCAAATTATAAACAAAGAAACACAAATCAGACTGCTAATGCAAACGATGAAATGTCTCAATCTAGTCAGTCAATGCACAAAATAATAAAGGCTTTCCCACCTTAAATGCATTGTAAGCAATTTGGTTGGCCTTCTTGATAACAGAACAAGAATATAGGGTTTGACTGTTAGTTTGGTAGGATACCATGGTAGCTGTGCATTGCAAACCATGTGTAAAATGATGTTCTAAGATGTCGGCGGAAGATCTGCTGTTAGATATTTGAATCATATTTGGGTAGTTCATTGAAGAAAAAGAAAGAAAATCCAAATGCCAATGCTTGTAAATTAACAATGAACTCTATATTCCATACTATTGTGAAACAAAGCATTGATATGAATTGATGTCATTATATATGAATGAGTAGCAAGAACCACACAAATCAGAATAGAAAAATGTGAAAAAAGGCATAACCAAATGCGTATAGAGACACCATGTGCTTCACTACTCAAACATCACAAGTTTATAGGTCAATCTGAAAATCTATCGTGGTTTATAGGTCAATCTGAAACTCTATTCCAGACTTAGATCTTTAATAATAGGAGAGGCATCAGAATTAGGTGAAACATGAAATATTATGCAAGGCATCAAGCGAATAATGTTAGCTACTTACTTAGTGGGCAATCATCCCCAGGGAGCTTACAATCAGGACAACAACCATCAAATGCCATCCTGCAAATCCCACATGTTTCATCTTGTGCATCCCATGTCCATGAAGCAACAGCATGCCACCTGCAGGTTGAAAAGGATAAGAATTAGAGCTCCAAGAGTACATCATTGTTAAATTTATAAACATTCACAAGTGCAGCAATTGATTAATGAATATAACAGATAGAGAAGAGATAAAGAGGACATACTCTGTTTGAAAAGCCCATCAGATATTCGAAACGAGAGTCAGTTAAGAGAAAACTGTTTCTATAAAACGTGCAATACCTTTCACAACAAACACTTTTCAAGTAAAGGCAAATTAATTAGCAAACAAGATCACAATAAGTAATTCTTGAAGAAGCCAAATCATATGAATTTGATACCATCAAGCTAAAATTCATTCTACCACGATTAAATAAATGCAACAAAGTTAACACCATAGAAGGGAAAGAAAAGGAAAATATAAACGATAGTTATAAATAGTATAAAGGTCGTGCATTTAAAAGAAAGGAACTGAAAACACACGGACAAGGATACGCAAGATGTTGACTTTCATCCTCTTCTCCTGCAACTACAAAATCCCAAACCATCCATTTCAGAGAAGTGAATGATAATAGAATCTCTAGTGAATGATAATAGAATCTCTTTGGTTCCATCAGTTTTGAGAAGATACACACGCAGGAAACAAAATTCAGAACCCTATTGATTTCAGCAATATTCATGGCAAACTGTTAAAAATACCTGCTGCTTGTATATTCATGGCAAACCAATATTGATTTCAGCAAATTTTCCAGCCACCAAAGTTTGGTGCTTTCCATCATATTCAAGAAATATATTTTATATGAAATCCTTGAAACTTCCAAACCAAACTATAAATAAGCCTATCCTTTAACTTATAAAAAAAGAGGCATTGGGGGGAAAAAAACACATGTAGCAGTGGGTTGAACTATCCTTATTGGTTGTATGGCCAGAGTTGTCATCATAACGCCAATAGGATTTTGCTCAAGTTCTGCGTTACTTCGAAGACCAGTATCTAACATAAAGCTTACATCGCTGCCTTTCCAGGTCTCTGTCTTACTAAAAAAACCTGGAATTTTCTCACTAATAATCCTTACAAACCCAAATAATAAAATCAAGAATCAGCACCAATTATACCAAATTCAACTCAAAATCCAACGCTAAAATCACTCAAACACATCATATTAGACCATACAAAATAAATCGAAGTTTTCATCCTGCGACATCTAGAGAAGAGCATCCATAGAGCGTACCTAGGGCAGAATCGGAGCCACGGAAGAAGGCGAAGCCCTAGTCTTCGTCGTCCGTTCGAAACTGACGTCTGAGGTTGGGTTCCAGAGTCCGGGCAGCTTTGGGCTTGGATACAAGACGCCGTGTTCCTGACTGACACTAAGCCCACCAAACCAAACTAGGGCTATGAATTTGAGCATATTGGAATAGACATAATACAGGGTTTTTTGGGCCTCCAAATATTTGACTATATTTGTGAATTCAAGCCCATTAAAAAAAAGCCCAAATTGTTAATTTTAATGATTTTATTATTATTATATATATTCGTCATTGTGAATTTAAAAGTTTAGATGGAATGAGTGTGATTTGCACGTTAAAATGAATATATTTCATTTCAAATAAGAAGCCAAAATTATATTAATAAAGGTTAAAATATCGTGTAAATAACTTATAGCTCAAGTGATTAAGAGCATTTATTTTGCATATGAGTTCCACCTCCCCAATAACGTTTGTATCAACTGAAAAATAAGAAATTAAATACTGTAGTTATTCTCTATGCAACATCCCTACACTTCAATAAAGAAAAGTTCGATCTTAACGTTTTGTCTACAACTTTCGTACGTTTGACATTCGTCATAGTCATAGCGAGATGAAATTTCAAATAGGCCATTGGATTTGGATTCGTGGGCGCGTGTGACCATTAGGAGGACGGATGGTTGGCCAATCTTGGGCGGACTTATGAATGAGAGAAGCGAGGTATATAGGGAAGACAAGGAATAGAAATATTATCAGCTACTCTCCTTAATCAAGTCTATTTCCCGATTGCTTAGGTATTAAATTATGAATTTTAATAATGTGGAACTCACATAACTTTTAATTCCTCATGTACTAACTAGTAAACACATTAAAAATTAGGAACTAAAATAATTTCAATGCTCGTAGCACACCATAAATTTCAAATAAGTCATTGCATTTTTGGAGTGCTCGGTGAGCATTAGGAGGTGGGATGGATGGGCGGTTTGAGAGTCATGTTCTCGAGTCTGAGAGGCTTTTTTTAAATGCATGAAAAATTAAGAATAGAAATAATTTTGATACATACCTACTCCACCTAAGTAGCACACAATAAATATGGTGAAAGTAAAATTAGAAATATAAATTGTCCAGATATAGTATTTTAATTGTTATTAGGGCATGGGTCAAGAAAATAGAAGCATGACAGAAAAGAGACAGAAAAAGAAAAAGAAAAATCCTAAACAATAATGGATTGGATTACCTTATGAATAATAATTACCAAAGATATAATATAGATTGAATGAACCACATCAACATCTGTGTTGTAATGCATGCATGTATGAGAATTAACAGACAATTACTTCCATATAACCCAAGGGTGGATAAGAAGTCCCATGAATTTTTTTAAAAAAATATATAGAAAAAAAAAACACACACATAAAACATCCACCAAACTCAATTTACTAAATTTTCTGCATCATATTACAAATTTTTTCTTTTTGCTAATAAAAATCTACCGAGACATACCAAAATGTTCTATATTGATGTTCATATCTCCTGCTTTGTAAGAGCATTAAATTTCTATTTAGGATGTAATCTTCTAGAATTGGTTAGGTAGCCCTTCTGCTGCTATATAATACCCCAGGCTGTTTGGGGCTAAGCCATCTTCTTCTAAGGCTCTTCCTTCTTCTTCTTCCTCCCTAGTTTGCAATTTTTCTCTCTCTCCATTTTTTTCTTCCTTTTGAGCCATGACTAGAAAGAAGGTCAAGCTGGTCTATATAGCTAATGACTCAACCAGAAAAGCCACTTTCAAAAAAAGGAAGAGGGGCTTGATAAAGAAGATAAGTGAACTGAGCACACTCTGTGACATTCCAGCGTGTGCCCTAATATATAGCCAGTATGAGTCTCTCCCTGATATCTGGCCATCCCCTTCCGGCGTGCAGCGTGTTATCTCGCAATTCAGAAATATGCCGGAGATGGAACAAGGGCGGAAGATGTTCAACCAGGAGACCTTTCTCAGGCAGCGGATCGTGAAGGCCCACGAGCAGCTCAAGAGGCTGAGGAAAGAGAACAGAGAAAAGGAGGTGTCCAGGGTGATGTTCCAGACCCTCACTGGTAGGCCTCTTCAGGGACTGAACATGATCGACCTGAACGACCTAGGATGGCTAATCGACCAGAACGTGAAGGAGCTTGGTGAGAAGATTAAAAGCAAGAGAGAGGAGCTGCTGGCTCAGAGAAGTGAAGTCACAGTGGCAGCACCAAATGCAGCAGCTTTGCCTGCTAGAGCTGGAGACCATGGCATGGACCTGAACATGCAGCAGCCAGCAATGGAGAACACCATGCAGAGGCCTCCATGTTTCTCAGATGTGATGACCTCGCAGGAGCCTATGGGGTTTGGTGCTGCTGGTGGCGATGATGTGTTGCCCTTCGGAGATCAGAATCATCCTGCCTTTTGGCATAACAGTCCCTTTTTTCATTGAACTCTATCCGGTGTTTGTTTAGTTTTTGTTGTTTTTTTATAAGTGATTTTCTTTTATGGATGTTTTGTTTTGATGGTGCTAGTCTCCATCTCAAACCACAGCAGGTTTCGTTTCTTAATTTCTTGAATTTAAATTTATGTACCCAAAAGTTTATATAAATAGTAGTTCAGTTGTTTGGTTTTCTCAATCGTATTCTTCGAGGGCTTATATTCTCTGATGTATTTGCGTACTTTATTATCTTTTTAATATATCCTTTTGAATTTAAGATTTGTTGCTATGTTATTGAGAACCAACCAACCAAAGCAAGAATGATTAACAAGAAAGGTCAATGGAGTTGGATATGTTTATCAGAAAGTTTTACATTTCTTAGATCGCAATATTATGTAGTTCTTATCTTCACTAAGAATTACTCCTAGACGTCCAACAAGATTTGAAAGATGAACTCATATAACATTTGAAGACAAACTTTTGTACCCTTGGTTAACTCTAATTATATAGATTGAAAACATATCAAAGAAAACTATCCGAAAGAAAATTACAATTAAAATCCTTTTGGTTATTGTTAGAAGAAACACATATTCAATTATAAAACAAAAGGAAGGATCAAGCTATAATTGATGGTCTTATAGTACGAAAGAGCTTTATTAATGAGAATGATATACATGTAAGTTAATAACAATAAACGATGTCAATTTGCCATATATAAAACCTTAATAATGAGACAGCCATTCAATTTATTATCCGACGCTATGTACATACATAGGGTAGGTATACCTACCATATATTTGTAAACAACGTTACATACATATGGTAGGTATACATATCGTAGTCTATTGTTCTCGTCTTGTGGAAGTTGTTCATAAATCGTTTCTTATTACTTGAAGTATATATTCTCTTAAAGTTCATATATATAGTAACCTACTCATGAGGCACATCATTTAATTTAGGGCTTGTCCAATATAGATCCTTGTATTTTCTATTTCCTAGACATATACCCATTACTCTATAAATCTATGTGTAAAACCCAATTTCAAATTTAAATGACCAGTAGGATATAAGAGGTCTTAGTATTTCTATGTTTTTACATCATTGCCACTAAACTTCATATTTTATTTCAAGCATTTCATTAACTGCCATAATTGTAATTAATATACTCCCTATTAATAGCATATCAATCA